GTTCACATGCACACGAGCTTCACTTATATAATTAAGCACACGGCTTTCATGAGCTCAGCAGCTGAGATTGAATCTTACTCTCCAGTGAACTATAACAGATGAAGGACAGCAGCGCCTGTAAGAGTCCGGGTCATTCAGGTGGTGCTCAGACTGCATCAATAAGAGTTCACACAGACTTGATCATCTATCAATTCATTTTTATTTCTATACATATATAAAATGTTTGGCACATTTCTTTTAAAATACATCATATTTTTGTCTAAACATTTGTTATGGCTTGAATATTTCTCATTTACGATTTTCCATTGATAACCTGAAACCCAAAAGGCAATCGTGGCACTTGTTCACATTCAGTAGGAAACTGCGCCACAGCAAAGCGAGATAAAGCAGGATCCTGATAGGTTAAAATCTTCATTCAGTTCTGTCTTTGCTGCAGCTGATGTCACCGCTCATGTTTGGGCACAATGTCCCCCCTGTCCACCGCTGCCATACCGGGTCTGCTAAGCTCCTTAGGAGGTAGGTCTGCATAAAATTCTGCAAACACAGGGCAGTGATCGGAGGCCACACCCCCCCATGACCAGTTATCAGGGATCCAGGGGTTAGTTAAGCCTTCCCGAACTACCATGCAGTGGCCTGTGAGAAGAAAGGACACAAGAACAGTCAGGAGACACTTGGAACTTCATGCAACACAAATAATGCACCAAACTTTGATCTGATAGCAGCTTCTGTGAAACTAGGATCACATTTATCATACAGTTAAAGTAACCATGTATCCTCTACTTTACACATAGTTTAAAATACATTTTTATTTTTATCTTGAGACTCAACTTAAACTTTGATTGAGTGACTTCTAGTCTAAATAACTGTGTGGCCTCAACGTGCTTTTAACTAGGCTCAGACTTGTCTTGGCACACTTGAAGTTGATGATTTGACACTCAGATTAGACTTGAAGACCTGGTTTGACTTGTCATAACTGGAGACCAAAGTTTAAATTGGTTAGGTGAACTCCAGAGCACACTTATGTAAAGGACCTGAGAGCTGACTTAACATTTAGTTTGTGTTCGGCAGAAAACCTGTTTTTAACCTGACGTGAAACTAAAGTCAGCCTCGTTTTAAGACTGTTAATGAAAAACCTGACTTTACTTGTTTTATATGACTAGTTTATAAACCGCTATACATTTAATCGTTAGTTGCTTGTGTGACTTTTGTTTCTTTCTTTTCAATTCTTTCTCTTAAAAGACAGTTTTTCCTCCCCACTGTTCACAGAGGCTCATCTGATTGTTGGGATTTTTCCGGTGTTTTGTAGGGTCTTAAACATACAATATAAAGAACTAGAAAAATTTGCATTTCCTGCGAAAATGC